GGGTTATAGAGAAGCTCTATGTTTGGTCTTTTGAGAAACCTCCATACTGTTTTCCAGTGTGGTTGAACAAGTTTACATTCCTACCAGCAGGGTAATAGAATTTCCTTTTGGCCACATCCCCACCAGCAATGTTTTTTGTTATTTTTCTTGATAATGGCCATTCTAATTGGGGTGAGATGAAATCTCAGTGTTGTTTTGATTTGCATTTCTTTTTATGTCCAGAGATGTTAAACATGTGTCTATTGGCCATTCTTACTTCTTCTTCTGAGAAGTCTCTCTTTAAGACTTTAGCTCATTTATTAATTGTGTTGTTGTTTCTTAAAGGGTTTATTTTTGAGGGTTTAATTTTTTTGAGTTCTAAGTATATTTTAGATATGAAGTCTCTGGTAAAAACCTCCTCATATTCTGTGGGCTTTCTGTTTATCTTGCTAGCTGTGTCCTTTGTCATGCAGAAACACTTCAGTTTGACATTGTCCCATTTATTCAATCTTCCTTTAATTTGTTGTGATTCTGGATCTTTACTTAAGAAGTTTTGACCCATGCCTAGGAGCCCTAGTGTTTCCCCTACCCCTTCCTGTATTTTTTTTTTATGGTATCTGGCCTTACATTTTAGTCTTTGATCCATTTTGAATGAATTCTGGTACAGGGTGATATATAAGGATCTAACTTCAATTTTCTGCATGTGGATAGCCAATTTTGCCAGCACCATTTTGTTGAAGAGGCTGTTTTTCTTTCAATCTGTGTTTTTGGCTTCCTTATCCAATATTAGATGGTTATCAGTCTGGATTCATTTATGGGTCTTTTATTCTGTTCCATTGGTTCTTAGGCATATTCTTGTGCCAGTACCAAGCTGTCTTTATTTATTTATTTATTATTAATTTTTCTGTTGGTCATGGGTCCTGAACTCTGGGCCTAGGCGCTGTCTCTCAGCTCTTCAGCTCAAAGCTAGCACTCTACCACTTGAGCCACAGCACCACTTCCAGCTTTTTCTCCTTATGTGGTGCTGAGAAATCAAACCCAGGGCATGTAAGGCAAGCATTCTACCACTGAGCCACCTTCCCAGCCCCCCCCCCCAAGCTGTTTTTATTACTACAGCTTTGTTACAGAGGCAAAGGGTGAACAAATGTAGCAGTGATATTCTCTAGATACTACATTGAAGTGAACTATACAACTTGTGGGTGGTACTGAGAAGGGAAAAACAAAGAGAGCAAGGGAAGGGGTGACATTGTTCGAAAGTAAATGTACTCAAACCAGGCCCCGGTGGCTCATGCTTATAATCCTAGCTACTCAGGAGGCTGAGATCTGAGGATTGCAGTTCAAAGTCAACCCCGGCAGGAAAATCAATGAGACTCTTACCTCCAATTAACCACCAGGAAAGAGGAAGTAGTGCTGTGGCTCAAGTGGTAGAGCTCTAGCCTGGAGCTGAAGAGTTCAGGGACAGCGCCCAGGCCCAGAGTTCAAGCCCCATGACTGACAAAAAAGAGAAAAAGTACTCTTTATCTGACTTATGTAACTGTACATTGCCTTTATGATAACAATTTTTTTTTTGGTTGGTTGTGGGGCTTGAACTCTGGGTCTGGGCGCTGTCCCTGAGCTCTTTAGCTCAAGGCTGGTGCTCTATGATTTGAGCCACATCACTACTTCCAGCTTTTTCTGTTTATATGGTGCTGAGAAATTGAACCCAGGGCCTCATGCATGCAAGGCAAGCACTCTACCACTGAGATACCTTCCCAGCCCACAATAACAATTTTTTTTAAGAAAAGAATAGAACCTCAGTCTTCTCTATTACTGGATTTTTCCTTCCTACATATTGAGCTTTCTTTCCATTCTCCAGTCTTCCTTTTACTGAGAGGTATTGACTCTTCTGGGTTTTTGGGGGGTTTGTTGTTGTTGTTCTTCTTCTTGTTCTTCCTGAAATGTAGCCTGAGATACTGCTTTTTTTTTTTTTTTTTGATACATAGTCTCACTATGTAGCCCAAGCTAGCCACAAACTCTTACTGCTCCTGCCTTAGCCTTCTGAGTACTGCACTTAACATGCTGCATTTGTTTGAGATCTAAGTGCTTGTTGGTTGCTTGTCCCCAAAGTATGCTTGCCACTGTCCTTATTTTTGAAAATTCTGCAGTGACTTAAGAACTAGTTAAAACTTAACTAGCTCCAATGTCCATCATGTCAGGATTCTTGAGTGTTAAGACATTTGGGTGGTGTGGATGTGGCTTTGTGTTCGTTAGCTGCCTTCAGCATATCCTGTTCCTACATTGTGTACATTGCATACGTTTCACTGAAACCATAGCAGGAGTTCTAGGCACCTAGCTCTGGGGAGCATGATTTTATTTCTGACCTGGCATGTTGGTGAAATACGTTATAGCCAATAAAGATATTCAATAAACCAAATTACTGGCTCTGATGCTAACAATATCTGGACTGCTTCTTATATGAACTTTGAATAAATAACACTAAGATTCATTTCAGTAAATCTAGCAACTTACTCTATTATCAACCTGTTGTACAGATTTTGTTTCCACTTTAAAACCATTAGTAAAGTAAGCCTGTCTTGGAAGGTCATCTGTCCCGAGTAGTGTCTGTTCATAACTACATCATCCTTCCAACATCAAACAAATTCTTTTCTACATTGTTCCATTGTAGCTTTCTTGGATCCCTCTTTTCTTTCTTTCCCTAGGAGAGGTAATTAAAAGTGTTTGGTTTGGTGTTGACTTATATATAGCTTTGTGTGTTTATATTTCCCTAGATTAGAACTTCTCAGAGGTAGAGACATATAAATCATTTGCAGCTGAGCACAGATTAAAGGCCTTATGGATGGCAGTGATGACACTACATACATATTGGGACTGAGCAGGAAGCGGGCTAAATCATTCACAGCAGATGAGATTTTATTCTGGTTTCTTTTTACAGCCAGCCTTTTTCCTTTTCCATAATGTTACTTGTGCTTTTCCATACCTATACATATCCATTTGCACTATTCCCACTGCTCCTGTCTAGGAAGCGTATGGGGGAACTGACTCAGTACTAACTGCATCTTATACATATCCTACAGAGGTTGGAGTTAATTTCCATCACCTGGTTCAGGAGTCACTTTGGGCCAGGCTCTGCCCCAGGCAAACTTGGTGACATGGGGAGCAGGTTTGAGAGGATGGACAGGTTGTTCTCTTCTTAATGGAACTTTTCATTTTGCCCCTTCATTGAAATGGGCTTAAACCATGCAGAGAGATGCTACAGACATCATTCAAGAAGCCCATTGTTATTTTAATGAGTCTGCACAAACCCATGCAGGAAATTAGAAGGCCCAAGTAATTGAACTGTGGAAAATTATAGCTGGAGAAATTCATAGTTCTACCATCATAATGGAATTAGGTATTGGCAGTGGCCAAGAGGGCGAAGGTGCACTCTAGAATTGTATATTTATGAGGAATCATCTTTCTTCCCACTGTTACATCTTATTTATTTATTTTATGAGGCAGTGTATTCATTTGAAAAATCTAATTTCCTCCCCTAGGAGATTGACTTCATGCCACTACCTTATATTACTGTCATTAACTCAAGGTTACAGTGGTTAACAAGCTGTTTCTAGACAACTGAGCTCTGCTCAGAGCTGAAGTGAATTTTACCTCCGGCAATTGTGGAGACTTTATGTTCTAATATGTTAAGAAGTGTCTTTCCTTAGTCTCGCCCACTTTCCCCTTATACTGAGAGGTGGGAGATGAGTCTGCTCTTCTCGTGGTTGGTGTCAGGGTGGTGAAGGCTCTAGAATTTGTCATTGGGGTTGACCAACTATTTATTTTGGTCCTGAGCACTGCTGAGTGGGCTGCTGGAGACCTAGGCTGAGTTTAGAGTCAGTGGAGCAGGTCTTACCATGCAAAGACCCCAAAATTAACTTGAAGCAAGGGTCTGCAGGCTTGAACCAGAATGAAGTTTGTAAAGGCATTTTTCTTTTTTATGAGTAGTGGTAGAGTTTGAATTCCAGGCCTCATGCTTGTTAGGCAGGGGCTTTACCACTAGAGCTATACCCAAAGTCCTTTTTGCTTTAGTTATTTTTCAGGTAGGGTCTCGTGTTTCTACACAAGCCAGCCTTGGACTATTACCCTATCTCTGGCCTCCTGAATAGCTGAGAGACCACTGGCTTGCACTATGGTGCTCAGCTTGAGATGGGAATGGGGTAGAGGAGAAGTACTCTCATGAATATTTTTCCTGGGCTAACCTTGAACTGTCATACTCCAGATGTTCTTTCTAAGTAGCTAGAATTAAAGCTAGAATTAAATTTTGTTTTCTTAAAAACAAAACAAAACTAAGCCCCCGAAGTCAATAAAGGTTTATAGCTAGGCAATCAATCCCTCTCTCTTTCTCCTGTCTGACAGTACCTGACAGAGTCTGACAGTAAATCCTTTTGGATGCATTCTGTAGGAAGTTCAGCTCTATGGCTCTCTTTTCCCACTTCCTATTCCACTGATGGAGTCTTTGAGTTCACTCCATGTTTTCTACAACATTAACCAGCTTCCTTCAAATTATTTCTCAGCATCTAGTGAACATTTATTGGTGACTTGCTTTTGTGCTGGGCACAGAGTTCTACAGAAAATAAAGGGCATAACAGCTCAGTTCTTAATCTCAAGAAGCTTGCAGTCGAGTGAGGTTAGCAAGGGAAAGAGAGTCCAGAATATTGTAGTCAGTGCTGTGAGAATAGCTAAGAGGCACTTTAGAGCTGAGAGCCCACCTGACTGCAGACATGGCAGTGGCACTAGGTTCTCAAAACACATATGGTTATGATACCCTGGCCTAGAAATCTCAGGTTATCAGCCACTTCGGAATCTAGACCTACCCTGAGATCTAAGGTATTTGAGCTTAAGAACCATGAGAAGTGAGAGCTCCCAGAAAGTGGAGGGCCAGGGACTCCAAGGAATCCTTCTATTGCAAAGGGCACAACTCCTGCTCACTGGGGCATTTTGCATATTCCCTGTGTCCCAAACACCTCTTGTCATTTGTCTTCCAGGTTGCCAAGAGAGTGATCTTACTATCAGGCACGCCAGCCATGTCCCGGCCCTCAGAGCTCTACACGCAGATCGTCGCTGTCAAGCCGACATTCTTCCCTCAGTTTCATGCCTTTGGACTTCGCTACTGTGATGCCAAACGGGTATTCTCTCTTTCCTCCCTTGCCTTGATTGTTCACCCTGATTTTGACATGTGATCTTGTTGCTCCTTCTCTTTGGCTGTGATATGAGCTGAGGATCAAGGGCCAGGAAACTGGACTAAGTTCCAGTTTGCTCCTAACCCTGACTTTGGCATATTTTCAAAGGCAAGATATATTCAGATGCCTCCTAATTTTAATGTCTGTGGTGATTCTAGATTAGCATTGTCTACAAAAGGGACCAGCAGATAGTGCAGAGTTGTGTCCAGCTCTGATAGTCATAACCCTGAGCCACGCTTATAGTTCCTCCAGCAGGCAGGGTTGCTGGGGCTGTAGAAGGAAAGTTCACACCAGATGCTGGCCCCTTGAAGGTACTATGGTGGCGAAAGGAAGGTCCTAGGCAGAGTCAGGAAAATACATGAAGAGGCAAGAGTTGCTTGGGAGGGATCTGAAATAAAACTGGGGGAAAAATCCTCTCTACAAAAAAGGCAAAAGCTCCCTGGAGCAAGCAGAGTAGGAGCATGATCCAGAGCTTCCCTGGGAGGTTTTTCTGTAGAGCCTTTACTCCTAATGGTGACTTAAGTGTGTCATCCCTGGCTGGAAGGTCTGAAACGTCTGACCCTCACATTCTTATGTGAATGCATTGCCAGTGGAGCAGGAAACCTGTAATAGAAATGTGCTACAGTCAGTATCGCCATTGTAAAAGCCAGACCAGAGTGATTCTTACTTTGTAGCCAAATTACAAATATGTACTCAGTTCTTATTTGCATCAAAGACACTGATACTGTGGAAAAATGGGAACTATTTTTGGTGCCAGTTCTAGGGCTTGAACTCAGGGCCTGATTGCTGTCCCTGAGCTTCTTTTGCTCAAGACTAGTATTCTACATTGAGCTGCTGCTACCTTTGGTAGTTTAATGTAGGTAAGAGTCTTACAGACTTTCCTGCCTTGGCTGGCTTCAAACTATGATCTTCAGATCTTAGCCTCTTTAGTAGCTAAGGTTATAGGCATGAGCCATCAATGCCTGGCTTAAAATACTTGTTTTAAAAGAAAAATCCTAGCTGGGTGCTGGTGGCTCACGCCTGTAATGCTAGCTACTCAGGAGGCTGAGATCTGAGGATCCCGGTTCAAAGCCAGCACAGGCAGGAAAGTCCGTGAGACTCTTACCTCCAATTAACCTTTAGAAAACCGGAAGTGGCTCTGTGGCTGAAGTGGTACAGAGCTGAAGAGCTGAGGGACAGCACCCAGGCCCAGAGTTCAAACCCCACAACTGACCAAAAAAAGAAAAAAGAAAAATCCTTTATACATTTAATTGGTAAAAGTATTGCAAGAGTCCTGTTTATAATTATAGTATATATAACACAAATTACAATGATTTCCAAAGTTAATTCCAAACTTTTGTAGTTGATTGTTGATGCAAGAAATTTCTCAATTACTAAATGCATTAAAAAATTGGGGCTGGGAAGGTAGCTCAGTGGTAGAGTGCTTGCCTCACATGCATGAGGCCCTGGGTTTGATTCCTCAGCATATAAGCAGAAAAAGCTGGAAGTGGTGTGGGGACTCAAATGGTAGAGCGTTAAAGAGCTGAAGAGCTGAGGTACAGCACCTAGTCCTAGAGTTCATGCCCCACAACTGACAAAAAAAAAAAAAAAAGCCTATATTTCTTTTTCTATGGAGAGTGAATATGTGGCCACGCACTTCTCTTCTGGGGGAGGAGCGGTTGAGACAGCATCTTGCTATATGGTTCAGGCTAGTGTGTGACCAACTATGTAGCCCAGATTGGCCTCCTGCCTCTACCTCCACAGCGTTGAAATTAACAGATGTGTGCCAGTGTGCTCAGTTCTCACCAAATGCTTCTTTAACACAGTCTGTGACTCATTTTCTCTGTGGTTGGATCTAGACTGAGTTGATTTTGTGTAGGTTTCAGGTATGCCTTGTACTTGTGACTTTGTTTACAAATAATGTTTGGATCAGGATTTCTCCCTAAGCTAGTTTATCTCTATAGCTAGAGATAAACAGGCCTGAAGGCTGCGTCATTTTCAATACTCCCTAGGTCATCCCTTCCTTTGTTGTCTGTATCAGGCTCATACTAGAAACTCAGTCTATCATCCTTGAATTCTTCCATTCCCCCCTTCTCTTCACTCCCTCACCTCCATTCCAAACACCATTAGTGCTTTTTCCTCTTCACATCCTTTTCCTCAGCCCAGGGTCTGGGGCCAGTAAGTTTTCAATGAAAGTTTGTTGGATTGTGATTGTTCTAAAGTCCAGTTTAAAATCATTGGTATTATTTGGCTTTAACCTACAATATTAAGAGGAAACAATATTAATCTTGGAATGTGATGTCAAATTAATTCTGATACCTTCTTGTGCCCAGCATGCTTTTTTTTTTTTAAATTTCCAGCTTCATGCATTAAGAGAAGCTGCTGAAAAGAGTGCCCATGCTGAGCTCATTTGCTGCCCAGTGGCTATCTAAAGGAATCTACTGAGAACTTTCCATTGATTTCTGCCTTTTAAATTTTTTTTAGTTTTCTTTAAGTACTCCTACAAAGGGATTTTGATTCAACATGTCAGTTTGTGAGTGCAATGCATCTTGCTCAATGTCACCACTTCTGTCATTCTCCCCCAATTCTCCCAACCCCACCCAACTACCCAGGTTACCACTTTCACATATGTACATTGAATGTTATGGCTGTATTCTCTCACTCTTCCTCTCTCCATTTGTTCCTCCTTTCCTCCCAACTGAAACAAAACATGTTTCAGCTTTCTGGTATTCATGCTGTTAAACTGTAACTTAGTTATTCAAAAGAGACCATTGGAATCCTCCCCTGTATATGCCCTACTGTAGTAATATGTTTGTGTATATATACATACATATGACCCTGTATATGTTTTCATATGTTTATAATTTAGATCTGACTTCCACATATGAGTGAAAACATTTGCCCTTTCTGTCTCTGGGACTGACTTGTTTTACTTAACATAATTTTTTCGTAAAAAAAAAAAAACAAAACACAGCTCTGAGTCATTGTATATCTTCATCTTTGTCTCTTTTGGTTCTCAATTGAGCAAAACTCTATAGGACACATTGCCTGCTCCCACTACGATGCTGGGCCCTTGAGTCCTTTAAAGTAAGCAAGCCCAGACCCTCCCTTCAGGCTGCTCATAGTCCAAAGAAATGTGAAGCAGGAGAGACATAAGCAGTTGAAGATGCAAAGCAGGCACTGGTGGCTCAAGTTAGGGGCCACTTAGCGGAGGCTGAGATCTGAGGATTATAGTTTGAAACCATCCTGGGTAGGAAAGTCGATGAGACTCTTTATCCCCAATTAACTGCCAAAAAAATGGAAGTGGAGGTGTGGCACAAGTCCAGAAAAAGCCAAGCGAGAGTACGAGGATCTGAGTAAAAGCCCCAGAACTGGCACAAAAAGAGAGAGAAAGGGAAAGAAAAGAGGGAGAGGGGGAGGGAAAGGGAAGAAAAAGAGGAGGAAGAAGAGCAGAGGGAGAGAGTACAAACTAGGCTTCCTGGTTTTCAACTGTGGAAATGAGTCCTGTTTCCTGTAAGCTTGTTGGTCATGGATAGGATTTTTATGTATTTGATTTGTTTGTATAGTGTGGTGCTGAATGGAGCCTGGGGCTTCACACTTGCTAGATGTGCTCAACCACTGAGCTACATCTTCTCTACCTGTATGACAGGAAATAGGCATTTGAGCTCACTGCTTCCTAGGAGCTGCTGTTTGGGGAAAGCAGGTTGTGAAGGACTGCTAGCCCTCCTGGATGACCTAGTCAAACCAACCCCAACCACCGTTTACCACAGTAACACTGCAGTTGGATTTGATTGGGTTGCTGTGATCCACAATGAGAAATAGTTTTTTGTTTTTGCCAGTCCTGGGGCTTGAACTCAGGGCCTGGATACTGTCCCTGAGCTTCTTTTATTCAAGGCTAGTAATCTACACTTGAGCCACAGCACCACTTCTATAAAATTTTTTTTGGGGGGGTCCGGTCGTGGGGCCTGAACTCTGGGCCTGGGCGCTGTCCCTCAACTCTTCAGCTCAAGGCTAGCGCTCTACCACTTGAGCCACAGTGCTACTTCGGGCTTTTTTCGTTTTGCTTATGTGGTGCTGAGGAATCGAACCCAGGGCCTCAGGCATGCAAGGCAAGCGCTCTACCACTGAGCCACCTTCCTAGCCCCCACTTCTATAAATTTTTTTGATCCGCAGAAATCCCATCAAATAAAGATGTTTCAGATGTTGTTTATGACACAATGTAATGGAGTCTGTAGGATTCACCTTGAGGAGAATTTCTTTCTGTATTTAGTATATAGGAATAGTCAGAAAGCTATTTTTTTTATTTTTTAATATATACCTAATCTGAGCTGAGAATGTGGCTTAGTGGTAGAGTGTGTGCCTAGCATGCATGAAGCCCTGGGTTCGATTCCTCAGTACCACATAAATAGAAAAAGCCAGGAGTGGCACTGTGGTTCAAGTGGTAGAATGCAAGCCTTGAGCACAAAGCAGCTCAGGGACAGTGCCCAGGCCCTGAGTTCAAGCCCCAGGACTGGCAAAAAAAAATAATACATAAAATAAACATCTAATCTTCTGAAGTTCTGCATTTGCAGCTGGAAAAGTTGATGCCAGACTTTAGGATGCCATGCCGTGTCATTTTTATGATCTCCTGGCTGTTTTTTCCCCACCTTTCTTCCCTTATTTATCTCATCTGGGGCTAATTTCTCCTCATCACCACCTGGGTGGTGATGAGAAAAGCACCCTGCCTGGAGCAAACAGTCTAACGCAATCTCATTTCTCCTCAGCTATCCTGGGGCTGGGACTACTCGGGCTCCTCCAACCTGGGAGAGCTGAAGCTCCTGCTGGAGGAAGCCATCATGCTGCGCCGCCTCAAATCTGACGTCCTTTCCCAACTGCCTGCCAAACAGCGCAAGATGGTAGTAGTTGCCCCAGGACGGATCAGCGCCAGGGCCAGGGCTGCCCTGGATGCAGCAGCCAAGGAAATGACCACTGACAAAACTGTAAGTTCTGGCCTGGAGACAGGCTGGAAATGGATGCAGACAGGTGTTCCTTTCTGAACAACTCTGTGAAAATGGCCCAGGGTTCTCACCTTGCCTTTCCACACTTGCTGCACCCAGGCAAGAACAGCCAGCCCTTCCTTGATGACTGGTGGTAGATTGTCATAAAAATAACCTCAGGGGAGAAGCAAGATGGTGATATACATGTGTATTCTGACAGAAAGCTGAAATTTATCTTCAGAGTACACTGAGGCTGCCTCAGTATGGTAGCAGTTAAGACCATTAGGGCTCCATCTAGTGGGTACTTAAGTTACCCCTCAGGTCACACCTGTGCATTGGCACCAGTCAAGATAACAAATGGACATGGGTCCCAAAGCAGAGTTTTTGAACCCTCTTAAACCTTGGAAATCCTTAAGTCATCTAATAATGGCTGGCAGGAAGTTGGCAGGTCCATTTTACAGAGAGGGAAACCAAGGCTCACAGGATGCCAGGGTGTTATTTCTATTCTACAGTAGAGGCAGGGCTAGAGCCAAGGCTCTTGTCCCTGTAATTTAGGGTTAAGGCTCTTTTTTTGTGTGTGTGGGGGGGTCAGTCGTGGAGCCTGAACTCTGGGCCTGGGCACTGTCCCTCAGCTCTTCAGCTCAAGGCTAGCACTCTACCACTTGAGCCACAAGTGCCACTTCCGGCTTTTTCTGCTTATGTGGTTCTGAGAAATCGAACCCAGGACCTCATGTATGCAAGGCAAGCACTCTACCACTGAGCCACCTTCCTAGCCCCTTAGGGCTATTTCTACTTTCACCTTTTCAAAACAGTTATTTTGCTATTCCAGCTCCATTTGTGTCTCTTAGGGTAATAACCTTCTTGCCCTGGTGTTATTCTCATTGGTCAGGCAATAATCAGATGTTTGCCATTATCACAAAGCATTATTTGAGCCTCATATTATTTATTTCATAAAGAAGTTTAAATATCAATAAGGTCTCAGCTTTGTAGGAGATTGCAAAATAAATAAAAATAACAGGAGACACAATGCATGAAATTTTTAGTGTCATTTTTACCATAAGTAAAACTAACCCATCACTTTTAAGAAGAAAATGCATTGGTAAATTGTTACACTGTATTTAATTTATACTATATTACATAAACTAACCTGGATGATTCCAAGTAAATAGGGTAAGCACAATCTCTTTGCTGTAGACCTTTACTGTGGACCTGTAGAACATTGTTCTTCAACTTCAGCAGAATCATGGGGAGAAGCAAGGTGCTGTTGTAAAAATAGTTCAGTCCTCCTCGTCTGATGGGAGTTAAAATTCCAGTGAATAGAAATTTTCATCTCAATTTAAATTTTTTTCTTATCATCTTTTCCTAAACTTTTAATATCTGCTGACTTCTGTCCAATAGTGAATAGCACCGGACAAGAACTGATGAATAAGGACCAAATATAAAGGGTGATAGTAGCGGCTGAGGATGTAGCTCAGTGACAGAACACTTGCCTAGCTAGCATGTGCTTGGGGATAGGGAACCAGTATCCTAATGTCAAGATTGGACTCGATACCTGTAGGCATTCCTTCCAGACTCTGACCAGCTAGGAAATCCTGAGTTCAAAGTTAAATGGAGAATCGTGGTTTTATGGTTTTAGTCAAATAAGAAATCCATCTTGCTATAGTTAATAATTAATTTTTAGCCCCAAGTTTCTCTTTTTTGTATATCATGGCAGCTCCACCAAGCACTGCTGACCTGCCTGTCAAGAAATGATTCTTTGTACCTTTCCATTTAAAAAAAAAGAAGAAGAAGAAGCTTTAGGAAAGGGACAGGTATGAGAGGTGGGAACACAGAGTGTGGGGGGAAGCTTTAAATCATAAAAAGGTAGCCAGTTTATAATCTATGTTATAATGAAGGCTTTTTCTCATTTTTTTCAGCCGAAATAATAGGTCTCTCTTCAAAGGCTAAGGAAAGGCTGCCTGTAATTGTCTTTTTGTCTAAAGCAGTTTTTGATCAGCAAGAGCAGGAGCAGAAAAAAGGATCATGTCCACTCAGACTTCCTGGTGACAGAGTCAGTTCACGCATGACATATGACATTCCATTTTAAAAAAAGTTTAAAAACTCCAATACATCTCATTTAACCAAAGTCTAGGAAGCAGGAACAAAGAATACAGACTATTTAAAATTTTCTTGCTCACAGCTAAAAAAAAAAAAGTGGGGGGGAGAGATCATTAATATGTGATATCTACCCAACTTGGAAAGTTTTCCTTTTCTTTTTAAGATAACACTATTATAATTTCTCCTACATTAAAAATCCATAGGTTTGGGGATGTAGGGCAGTGGGAGAACACCTGCTTAGCACTTGAGAACCTTGGGCTTGGTCCTCAGCATTTCCGAAACAGAGAAAGAAAGAAAGAAAAAGTAGTTGCTTATAATGCAGTAGATATCTATTCTATAAAATCTAAAAAATAAATAGGTTGAAGGCCTGGTGCAGGGGTTCCTACCTGTAAGTTTTGCTCTTCAGAAGGCGGAGTGATCAGGGAGGATCACAGTTCATGGTCAGCCCAAGCAAAAAGTTAACAGTACTCTGTCCCACAACAAGCCTGGCATGGTAGTGTACCTCTGAAATCCAAGATACTGCGGAGGGTTAGATAGGATCCCTGGCAAAAACATGATACTATCTGAAAAGTAATTTAAATTTAGGGCTGACAGTGTGACTCAAGTGGTAGAGCACCTGCCCAACAAACAGAAGACTTTGTAACCAATTCTCAGAGAAAAAAGGAGAGGTACTTACAGTAAGGAACCATTGAGTGCTTGCTACATGCTGGAAATGATGCTTTCTGTGTTTCAGTTATTTAACTCACCATCAGGGTCTAAGCCCATATACTTGAGCTCCCAAGACCACATTGATTTCTGGTTCTGTCAGGTGTTGGTGGCTCACACCTGTAATCCTAGCTCCTCAGGAAGCTGAGCTCTGAGGATTGAGGTTTGAAACCAGCCAAGGCAGGAAAGTCCATAAGACTTTTATCTTCAGTTAACCATCAATCAGCCAGAAATGGAGCTGGGGTTCAAGTGGTAGACTGCTAGCCTTGAACAACAAGCTAAGAGACTGCCTAGGTCCTGAGTTTCAAGCCCCAGTAACACATGTGTATACACACACACACACACACACACAGAGGGCTGGGGGGGGGAGAAAAATTCTAGTTCTGCCTTTAGAAACAGTGTGGCATCAGCTTATGTGTCTTTTCTACTTTCATTTTTCCATGTCTGCAAATGGAGATGAGATCATTGTGCTGTCTTCAAAGCCATCTTCATTACTGAGTTAGAACTCAGTACATAGCCTTTACACACTGCAGCTAATAGCATTAGCTGTTATTTTTATTTCTTTACTACGAAAAAATAATTATCTTTGCAGCCATATAATTTAGAATATAGCATTTGGGTGTTTTTCTGAAATGCTTGTATATGTGTGTTTTGCTTTAAATGTCTATAATTTCTCTATAAAATATGCCTTATATGACTATATATAAATATTCCTACATATTTGCATATACCTATAATGCATATTTATATGTAAAACATATCACTCAGTAAAACCATGTTCTATTATATGCAAAATACATGCAAACAGTGTCTGCATTTCAAGAGAAGAATTGGGACCATGCAAATATGCATTAAGTGAGCAAGGAAACCAGTGACAGACTGTTGTGAACACCTGCCCATGTTATTAAGTGTTCTTCCAACCCAATGTCTTAGTCTTTGCTCACCTGGCAGTTTAGAACTTTGCCTCTCCCACTTATTTAGTTGGATCTTTTTTTTTTGGGGGGGGGGTCCGGTCGTGGGGCCTGAACTCTGGGCCTGGGCGCTGTCCCTCAGCTCTTCAGCTCAAGGCTAGCGCTCTACCACTTGAGCCACAGTGCCACTTCTGGCTTTTTTTCTTTTTACTTATGTGGTGCTGGGGAATCGAACCCAGGGCCTCATGCATGCAAGGCAAGTGCTCTACCACTGAACCACCTTCCCAGCCCCTTAGTTGGATCTAGAAGTTGTCATCACTCCCTCACTCCCCTGAGTAACACCACACTGACAGAGTAGCTTGTGTATAGATTTGTGCACATATAGTTCTAGCTCATGAATATACTCTTAAAGAGTAAATTCTGAATCCCAGGGGGATGAAATGCTTTCCAGAAGAGCTTTCATGATCCTTGTCTCCTTAGATCCATGCATCTGTTATGGGAATGACTGAGGATCTGGAATGTTGGCTCTAGAGAGAAAACCAGAGCAGTTCCTCTCACCTGGGCAAGCGAGCAGATAGGTCAAGTGTCAGTGCTAGGGTCTCCCCATAAACTGGTGGCTGTTGGGAAGCTCAGGGTAGCCACAGTTGAGTCAGCTTGTCACAGAGTTCTCACAGGACACCTTTCAGCTCTCCTCCTCTTTCAATAGAAACAGCAGCAGAAAGAAGCCCTCATTGTCTTCTTCAACAGAACTGCTGAAGCCAAAGTCCCATGTGTCATGTGAGTACTTACCAAGTGTCCACCTGTCCTTCTCTCTCTCTTGTCTCTGTTACCCCTATCAGTCTGCCAGAATCATTTTACTGCTCTGAGAGTTGACCAGCAGGCCGGAGATGTGCTCACGTAGTAGAATGCTAGCCAAACAAGGAAACTGAGCAACTTCAGGGCCCTGAATTCAAACTCTGGTGCTGGCTGGAAAAAAAAAAAAAGGAATTGAGTAGAGTTTAGAATTATAGCTGCTTGGAAAATCAGTTTAGTCTCCATGAACTCACCATCCACCATGCATAATCACCCTGTTACTGGAGCCACGCCTGGGCTGTAGTTGGAGTCTAACAAGCCTTTCTCAACCCAAGAGGGTACTGTGACTTAGAAAGAGGGTAGAGGGGTTAGATATAATGGTAAGCACCTGTAATCTCAGCTACTTAGGAGGCAAAAATAATAGGACTATGGCCAAGTACTGAAGGCTCACATCCTTAATCCTAGCTACCCAGGAGGCTGAGATCTGAAGGTTGTGATTCAAAGCCAGCCCAGGCAGAAGAGTCCCCATGAGACTAATATCTTCAACCAGAAAACCGAAAGCGGAGCTGTGGCTCAAAGTAGTAAGGTGCTAGCTTTGAATGAAAAAGCTCAGGGACACCACCTAGGCCCGTGAGTTCAAGCCCCACAACTAACAAATAAATAAGAGGACTGTGGTTAGAAGCCTGCCTCAACAAAAGTCCCTATCTCAAAAATTAGTTGGATTTGATGCACATGCCTGAGGATCTCAACTTCTAGGGAAGTTCAGACAGGAGGATTGAGGTCTAAGGCCAGCCCAGGCAAAAACATGAAACTTGCTCTGAAAAAAAAAATGAAATAGGAAAAATAAAAGGATGCGTCTTGACTGACTCCCCAACAAAGTTTTCCCTGGCTTGGGGAACTGTGGGCACCTGCCTTTAAGAAAGAAAGAGAGAAGCTGCTTTTGAGGATACTCTCTGCCTCTCTCCAGAGACATGAGATTTCAGCCATTACTTACCTAATTTTTTTTAAATGGGCTATTGTCACATTTAGTTCTCTTTTCCAGCATATAAACTAAAGCTGAAGAAATAATTGCTGTTCTAGTTTTACTGATTTTAAATATCCACAATTGCTGCCTTTCTTAAAGAAAAACCCACTCATGTTCCAGTATCACTGTGGTTGGAACTTCAGGCGACCCTAATGGTAGACAGTTGGCATTATTTTTTTTAATTGTCTTTACATTTGTATGAGGCTCTGGTGGGATTATGGTTCAAGTGATTGAGTCATAATGAAAATAAATTTGGTGTGGGCTGAGAGGTGCCAGACCGGCTATGGAGAGAGATCTGTGGGTAAACTGACAACACATGGCCTGCCCTGCCCTCCCACTAGGCCCTTGGATCCCCTGGCCCACCAGCCTGGCCCTGCCACCTTTACTGCTACACTCAGGTCCACATGCCCCAAGAGAGACTGCTGATTGGCAGCCTGTTCTCCTTTACTCTCTAGGCAGGGCCCTTTTCATTCATAAGACTGTTGTGGGACTTGTGAACTCCAGATGTGGTTTTTATGACCTGGAAACTTCTCGTAGAAACAAATCTGAATTGCCCTTGCCAATGCATTCCTCACCTGCTGCTAAGTAACAGAGGGCAGGAGGTTGTTCTTTGCCTTGCTCCTTCAGCCCAAGACCTACAAAATTCAAGGTCCATGGGGCTATCTATGTCTTTGGGTGTTGAATCAACAAGCACACATTGCCCTTAGAATTTTAAGCTAACCTTTTGTTTTCTGTTGTCTAGTTGTGGTTTTTGTTTTTTGTTTGTTTTTTTTTTACAGTGCTGAGGATGAGACCTTGGGCTCCATATGTGCTAGGCAAGTGCTCTACCATTGAGCTGAATTCCCAGGCCTTAAGGCTAAGCATTTTACCATCTCATAAATAAACTTTGGTCATACATCATACATACTTTTTCAAAGTTGTATGGTAAATTATATAGTTCTTTACAGTTTCTAAGCAATTTTTAGCTCTATTTATTTTTTGAGTGTGCCAGCACCAGGGCTTCTTGCTCTTGCTTAGCTTTTTTTTTTTTTTTTGGTCGGTCGTGGGACTTGAACTCTGGGCTTGGGCGCTGTCCCTCAGCTCTTCAGCTCAAGGCGAGCGCTCTACCACTTGAGCTACAGCACCACTTCCAGTTTTCTGGTGGTTTATTGGAGATAGGAGTCTCACGGTCTCTCCTGCCCGGGCTGGCTTTGAACCGCGATCCTCAGATCTCAGCCTCCTGAGTAGCTAGGATTACAGGCATGAGCCACCAGCGCCCGGCTTGCTTAGCTTTTTTGATCAAGGCTGGCACTCTACCACTTTGAACCATACCTCCACTTCCAGATTTTTATTGTCTGATTGGTAGGTAAGAATCTCATGGACTTCACTGCCTGAACTGGCTTTGAACTTCAATCCTCAGATCTCAGCTTGCTTGCTTGCTTGCTTGCTTGCTTTCTCTCTCTGTCTCTCTCTCTCTCCCTCCCTCCCCCTTCCTTCCTTCCTTCCTTCCTTTCTTTCTTTCTTTCTTTCGTCATGGGGCTTGAACTCTGAGCCTAGGTGCTGTCCCTCAGCTCTTCAGCTCAAGGCAAGTGCTCTACCACTTGAACCATAGCACCACTTCCAGTTTTCTAGTGGTTTATTGGAGATAAGAGTCTCATGGACTTTCCTGCCTGGGCTGGCTTTGAACTGCGATCCTCAGATCTCAGGCTCCTGAGTAGCTAGGATTATAGGCGTGCACCACCAGCATCCAGCCATGGGCATCTTTTAATATAATAGGACAGTTACTATGGTAGGCAAGTGCTTCCAGCCTGGTAATTGAGGGACTTGTAATGGGTAGAAAAGTGAAGCTGTGTCAGATGGAGAGGGAAAAGAGGCATTACGAAAACTGGGACCAGAGGTCACCAAATTAATTTTTTTTGTGGCCCTGTGACTTTTTGATGCTGTAGCAATAACCTTTTTTATTTATATCATGGCAAATTTTATGTTTCTCAAAATAATTAATGTGGTTTTATTAGTACAACAGTTCACAACACCATAGTGTTGTTTACAACTCTTAGTTAGAGGACAGTCCACTTAATTCTCCAACCCCCTACGTATAACAGGAAGCTGTTGAGATTTGTTTGTAAAGGAAGGCTGCAATATTCTTTGTGAAGACTGCCATATCTGGGGATGACCTCAGGTTGGGGGACAGGAGGGGAAGCTCTTATGATTAGGGACAGGAGCCGCAGTTACCTGCACAGGCTCACCTCTTCCCTGGGGTTATGAACCTCTACAGGGTGCTAATCTATGGGGAACAGCAGGGGTCTGTTAGCTGGGTCACTCATACCACTCACACTATAGCTCCACCAGGAGTGAGGCCTTTTGAGGGCTTGCAGATAAGAAGTGTGATGTTAAGAAACAAGGCAGGGAAGTGGTTCTGTGGCTCAAGTGGTAGAGCACTAGCCTTGAGCTGAAGAGCTGAGGGACAATGCCAGGCCCAGAGTTCAAGCCCCATGACCAACAAAAAAAAGGACTGGGAATGTGGTTGAGTCGTAGAGTGCTCACCTACCATGCCCAAATCCCTGGGTTTGATTCCTCAGTTCCACTTAAACAAAAAAAGCCAGAAGTGGAGCCATGGCTCAAGTGGTAGAGCAGTAGCCTTGAGCAAAAGAAGCTCAGGGACAGTGCCCGGGGCCAGAGTTCAAGTCCCAGAACTGGCAAAAGATAAAAAGAAAAACGGGGCGGGGGCTGGGAAGGTGGCTCAGTGGTAAGAGTGCTTGCCTTGCATGCATGAGGCCCTGAGTTTGATTCCTTAGCACCACATAAGCAGAAAAAGCTGCAAGTGGCACTATAGCTTAAGTGGTAGAGCACTAGCCTTGAGCTGAGGGACAGCACCCAGGCCCAGAGTTCTGGCCCCATGACTGGCAAATAAAGAAAAAGGAAAAAAAAAAAGAAAAACGGGGGAAAAAAAGAAGACAGTGGCTGGGTGTATATCTAACAATTAAGGTTTGAAGCCAGCCTTGGCAAATATGTCTGTGACACTCTGTCTACAGTTAGCCAGCAAAATGCTAGAAGTGGTAGAGCATCAGCCTTGAGTGGAAAAACTAAGCAAGAACAAGAGGTCCTGAGTTCAAGCTCCAGTACCAGCATAAAACAAAAACAAAAAACAGTGAGTGGAGGAGAGAAATAAAGGGAGGTTTTAAGCAAGTGAGATCCTTTTTACCATATTCATTTGCCTTAGAAAAGAATTCAGTCACCACTGTCTTAACTGTGGGCTGTGTTTTCTGAATTCTGAGTAGGAGGAAAAATAGAACTAAAGAGCCTTCTCTGAATATCTCTTCAGTATCATTATTATATTTTTCATTATTATTATCATTACTGTTATTATTTGGTAGTGGTTTGTGGATTGTACTCAGGGCCTAACCTCATGCTTGTTAGGCAGATACTGTACCATTTGAGCCATGCCTCCAGTCCCTCTTTGTGTTTTTATTTCTAAGATACGGTCTTGTTTTATGTGCAAACCAGCCTGGGCTGTGTTCCTACTACTTTCGCTTTCCCTCACTGTTGGGGGTGACAGGTGTGTACTACAGTGCCTAACCGTTGAGATGGAACCTCCCAAACTTGCTTTTTTGCCCAAGCTGAACTTGAACTACAATCCCTCCATCTTCACCTCCCAAGTAGCTAGGACTCCACACTTAAACCACTGCAACAAGAGTCACTTACTTCTTAATATTAAGCTTCTAGAAATTTGCGAACTGTTAAAAAATCCCTTAATGCCCTGCCTGTGTGTTCCAGGACTATAAAGATATTTCAGTTTATATGGAAAACAGATGAACATCCAAAGTTAACAAGTTAGCAACCAAAGTGAGAATTGTTGGTGACCTTCTCTGATCCAATTAAGAAGACTGTTTCAATAACATATCATAGACACATAAAACATTAAGGATACTTCAATATACTTGTGTAGGCTAGATGACTGAAAAGTATAGAAGTCTTTCTGCACATGGCAGAAGATGGCTTCTCAGCAGCTTCTCATTTTGCTTCTTGTCCACATGACCTGGTGTGAGGAAAAAGGGGAGCATTCCTCTCCTAGAGAAGGGAGTAGGTAAGCTTGGGAGTGCAGTTGATCTTGAAGGGTCTGCTGTCCATGTAGAAACTTTTCAGTGATTAACTTCAACTAGATGAGCATATGTTTAATCCACTTTATTTTGTTGTCCATGCAGTGAATATATCCTAGACCTTCTGGAAAGTGGAAGAGAGAAGTTTCTAGTGTTTGCACATCATAAGGTGGTTCTGGATGCAGTTACAAATGAACTTGAGAGAAAGGTAAGCTCCCTTTGACTTTGAACCACTGGGTCTTGAGGGAATTTCAGGGTGCTTTTACTGCTTATTTGTTGTTTTTTTATGGTCAGGGCTAAGCTGGTAAAGGAAGTGATGGTTCCCAGACCCACAGCTGATGACCTTCTGAAAAAGAGTCTTTGCTTGTTGGACAAGTGGGCACAGTTAGTTCCCCACAGGGAATATTTCAATTACCCTGTGCCCTAGATAGACATCCACAGCGTTTTGCTTTAGGGCTGTCTCCAGGGACTCTTCCACTATTCTTCACTTATAGTACAAAACTTCCAGAAAGGAAGGAACAAACATTGTCCTCTTTGGGGGAAACAAGTGTTTGTATGCATGTCTTCTTGTCTTCTTTCTTTTGTTTCTCTTTACTATTATCTTTTATGAATTATACATAGCAGTGTGCAGACCAAAGTACACAGGAAAATCCACAGGGATCTCTAAGGGTGTTTGTTAAAACTGTACTTTCACTCTTGGTTAAAGTTTAGGACCATGGATTTCCTGTTGTCTTCCTTCATCCTTTGCAGTGATGTTACATTAAACATACAACCTCAGGTACATACTCAGCACCTATGTATCTTACACCCAGACTGAATAAATCTAAAGTTTCACTGTATTAATTTCAAGGCTTTTTTTTTCCACTACCATATGGAGATACTATTATTTATCTACTCATCAATAAGGCTATTTGGGTTGATTCCACGCTTTGTAAATATGAATAATACTACCATACTTTGGTTGCTAACTATAATGCTGAACTTTAAACTGAGGAATGGAAGTCTGTGTTGAATTATTGAGGAAATGTGGTCAGCTAATATATTAGTATTGTAAGTCATTTAAATTTATTGTTATATGTTTTGTGGCCTAATAACATTGACATTCAATATGTTCTTGAGAACAATGTATAGTCTACTTTTATTGGGTTTAGAATTCCATAAAATTTGTTTTATGTAGTTGGTTTAGAATGATTTCCGAATCTTTTATTTCCTGTTGATCTTCTGTTTAAGTATTCCATCCATTAGCACAAATAAAATACTTGTCTTTGACTACTCCCTCTCTCCTTCCATTATCTCTCTGCCCTTCAATTTTATCAGTTTTTGCTTCATGTATTTTTTAATTATAAATGTGTTTATACTAATGTCTCCTTTTTTTCTTTTTTGGGGATTAGTACCAGTTAGTTGTACCAAAGTGTTTCATTTTAACATGTATATATATGGATACAGGTATCTATTAGTTACCTCCTCCATTCTTCTCTCTCTTCCTTTATCTCCCTTCTCAAACCAGTCTCAAGTTTCTTTGTTCTGTTTTCATGTTCATAGATTATTATGCTTGTTTTCATCCTCCTTCCTCCTTATCTGTTCATCCATTGCATTTAGCACTACTGCTACATCCCAGCCCAGACATGTGAATAAAGGGAATGATCCATGAAGAGGAAATTACAGTTGTCAACATGTATGCATCAAATAGTAGGATACTCACATTAAACTAACACTGACTTACAAATATTGAGAGATCCCAGCACAGTAATAACGAGAGACTTCAATACCCCATTCTCATCAGATAGATCATTCAAATAAAAGATCAGCAAATCGCAAAGTTAAACGATACCATAGACCAACAGACATCTACAGAGTATTTCATTCAGTAGCTGCACAATACACATTCTTCTTAGCAACCCATGGAATTTTCTCTAAAATAGATCTTATCCTAGGACATGCAGCAAGTCTAAACAAATATAAAGGGGTGGGAAGGTGGCTCAGTGGTAGAGCGCTTGCCTTGCATGCATGAGGCCTTGGGTTCGATTCCTCAGCACCACATAAGCAGAAAGAAAAAAGCTGGAAGTGGCGCTGTGGCTCAAGTGGTAGAGTGCTAGCCTCGAGCTGAAGAGCTGAAGGACAGTGCCCAGGCCCAGAATTCAGGTCCTACAACCAGACCCCCGAAAAAAAAAAACAAATATAGAAAGAAATTTTTTAAACTCCTTTAAAACTATATATAAAGTATAGTCTAAACTAATATAGACATGGTCATTCAATGGAGAATGATTTCCTAAGCATATAAACAAAGTTATAAAAGATATTTATTGAGGGGCTGGGAAGGTGGCTCAGTGGTAGAGCGCTTGCCTTGCATGCCCGAGGCCCTGGGTTTGATTCCTCAGCATCACATAAGCAAAAAAGAAAAAAGTGGGAAGTGGCGCTATGGCTCAAGTGGTAGAGCGCTAGCCTTGAGCTGAAGAGCTGAGGAACAGCGCCCAGGCCCAGAGTTCAGGCCCCACAACCGGACCCCCCCCCCCAAAAAAAGACATTGATTGAGATAATGTAAAAAAAATATGGATTTACTCATGGTTGTTGTGTATACTTGGTATATTTGTACATTTGTCAATAACTTAATAAAAACTCACTTTTCCAAACTCTCCTTTTTAGGAATTTATCCTAAGAAAATAAATGGTCAGACTAGTGAACAAAGATTTATTTATAAGGATATTATATATAAGGATATATGTCATTCTGTTAATATTTAGAAACTTAAAAGGTTATCAGCAAATGTCCCATTAAATAAATTGCAGTATATATAGCCATAAAAATACAATCACCGGGGCTGGGAAGGTGGCTCAGTGGTAGAGCTCTTGCCTTGCATGCCT